TTTTTGTTACCTGAGCAGAAGAGATAAAGGAAAAGAGGAAGAGGAGGAATCTGCAGGCAGAAACAGGACACACTGATGTGGAATCTCTCTGGATACATTGTGAAGATGGTTTTAGTATTTGGGGTTTATAATCAAAGCAGAGCCATGAAAGATTCGGATCATTTCGTCCATGCTGAGTCACTTTCTGCACGCCATGCATCTCTCAGAGCCAGAAATTTTCTTTTCCCTCTTGTAAAATGGGAAAAACATCCCAGTTCATAGAATCATTATATAATTAGGTAAGAAGCACACAATCATTTAGAGTTCTAACATCTAGCAAGTACTCAATTTTATCACTCATTATTAAATAATTTGTTCATTTCTGATCATTTACATCTCTCCTCTTTATTTTCACTGAGGTTCCCTGGGTTTAATTACACACTTGTGTTAAGCCTCTTGGTTTCAGATGAGCTAACAAAACAAGCTCTAGTTCACTTCTTTTCTTTGGAATTTAGGCTTTGCATCCACCCACAGCAAAGCAGCAAGCAGGAAAGCAATTCTGAGTACTATGCAATCCAAGTGGAGAAAAGCAAAGCAAAGCGAGGAAACAATACTAGGTCAGACTGTATTAAAATGGAGCATTCTCGATTACCGGATTTGCGCATTTAACTCAGCTGGTAACTGGCATTCTCAAAACATATCCAAGCAAATCTGGGGTATGACAGTTGTTTTAATTTCTCTGGTATTACAGTCATGCCCTCACTTAGTAACTACTTGATTATATAGAGTCAGAAAAACTTTGGCACTAGAAGAGAACTTATAAATGATCTGTTACAACGTCTTATTTTCCGGAAACAGGTACAAGGAGGTTAAGTGCCCTGTTTTTATTTCCACAGCAAGAAGAAAATAAACAAAACACAACAAAGGATGCTGAGAGGCGATATGGGAAATTGAAAACTGAATAGGACCTTGCAGCTAGTCTCTAGGATCTTAAAGCCCTGAAGAAAAATTAGACATGAGCACAGACAGCTGTAAGGTGAGACAGGAAGTTGTCAAGGGCTACAGGAATTTTGATAGGATATTAAACCCAGCTACAGGAAACAGAAGAAGGGGGTTTCATGACTGCTGTCCTCACACTTATATCCCTACTGTTAGGAGAATGCCTCTCTCCTTTCAGTAGTCACCCTCCTTTCTCTCAGAGTCACAGCTAACATACGACATTGGCCAGTTCATTGGAGTAGCGTACGGTTCAGCCATGAAGATTACCTCAGACCTGAACAGATGGCCTAATGGCAGCCATGCTAGCCCTTGCCAAGACTTTTGCTGGTTACATTGCTGATAAGGTTTTCTTATCTTAACACATTGGTAAATTAGTAAAATATAATCTTGGAGCTCTTGGGAAGTCATTATTTGGTATCTCAGAAGGAGATCATGACTGAAAGCCACTTTACACAAATGAAATCACAGCCACAAGACACACAAATACAGATTCCTAATGACATAACTGTACTCCTAGGTTCCTAGGTGAATCTTACCTTAATGCTGTATCTGGCCTTTTCAGTTCCATAACTGTATTAATTAACGTAGATTAAGCAGAGATTTTAATTTCCAAAAAGGAATGGGATATTTTAGTTTGGCTTTGATGGCTTGGTGGAAAGAAGATTTTTATGCATATGAGGAAGAGTTAGAAGGTGGCCAGAGAGAGAGTGAACACAGGAATGTGCAGGATTATCTGGAAAATCACCTGCGCACTCCTGCGGCAAACTGAAGAAACTCCAGAGCGAGGCTATAGTGACATCGATTTAATACTTCAACATTACCTGCCTTACTGCTCTGGTACCAGAGATGGAACTCAGGTCCTTGCGCTTGGGAGGCAGGCGGCAGAACCACTGAGCCAAATCCCCGCCCCCTACTGCCCTACAGCGCTTGCTGTTATCTTTATAAACTCAGCCCACATTCTTTGGCCTGGCACACCGGCTGTGTTCATATGAAATTTTTGCTCTGCTAGGTGAAGAGATGAATCATCTTCTCATATGAATTTTTCCCCAAAGACCACACCTTACATCCTCAAACCGACAGGAATGCTCAATGGAAATACCAGAGAAAAGCTGAAGACAGCATGGGGAAGAGCAATAATAGGTTAGCTCAGTAATCATTAGTACACTGATATATCCCTAAACTCTTATCTTCTTTAGAGTTCATTTTCATTTTTAAAGTCTGAGTGTAGTAGTACTGCATGAAAACCTTAAATCCTCCTAAACTGTGTTCTCAGACTAACTGTCTTAAAGGCCCCTGTGATACGAAAGCATTTGTCAACAGAATCTAAAACTCATGTAAACCTCAAAAGCTTGCGTTCATATGTATGAAAAGTTCACCAGGTTCTCAGCTCAACACAAAAATTACAGTAAAAGCTGGACAAGGTCAGAGCGAACCTCATAGGAAGATGAACGCCCTCTCAGTAAGGACATTGAACATACTGAATATCTCATAAAGAAATGATTAAAAGGCATTCAAACATGGAAAAGAGTAGAGGGAGATGATACGACCATTAGTTTTGTTTTGTTTTGGGGCCACAAGATTATAATCCAGATGGCTCACTCTTGATTCCTTTATCTTCAGGATACAAGCTACATCCTCAAACCTGTCACTTTCTGTGATCAGCAACAACCAAACAAAGGAATCATCACGTTGGAGGAAAACAGAAAAAAAAAATAGCATTTGAAAATCACTGCTATTGTTGCTGCTGTAAAGAAAAATGCTTCTTAATTTCCATCCTTGTCCTACTCACAAAATTATCAAAATGCTTCTCCCAGGTGTAGGGTAGCCGTTTTGATTATGGGCTTTTTCTTTTCCCACAGACAGCAACTTTTTGCTCTAGGCAAACTGAGCTGTTTTCATGTAAATACAGCCCATGCTTCAGCAGTTATTTTAACAGCTCACTTTAATGGGGACTTGGCTCCCCCCCCTACACATCCAACTCCTCTGAATGACCTCTAGACCCAGAGGCAAATCATGAAAGCCGAAGATGAAAAGTTTCCTAGCACTCATCTCTTACGGCACTTAGCCATCCTCCGCGGCGTGACTTCTGGAGAGAGGTCCTCAAAATCAACTCATTCCTGCGGAGCACACATTCTGGGCTATTTCCACATCGCTTTAAAGTCATGATTTTATTTTATCTTCACAGCAATGAATGAGAGATTATCATTGGGATTCCTCTTTCCTATATGAGGAGACAGTGAGACTCTGGAGCTAAGTAAGTGACCCCAAAACATACAACAAATAGGTGGCCTAGCAAACCCTTGGTTCTAGAACCCAAGAAGTTGCAGAGGGCTCTGAAACAGCAGCAGCAGCCATCACCAGAGCTTACTAGAAATACAATTTCCAGGTCCTCCCTAGATGCGCTGAATGGGAAACTCCGTCCTCTAGGAGAGTCTGACCGACCCAGAGGCATGGTTCCAAGTGAGCTGGGCAAATCTATTCCATTTCAAGCACTGTGCTTGGTCCGAGGTGCATTAGAAAGGAACGAGGAAGTCTGGTTTTCCCACGGCAGTTAATAATTTAGCAAAGAAGATTCAAAGCTTTGAAAAATATATACTAAGTATTTAGCAAATATTTGCTCATTAAATGAAACAGATCTAAATTATAGGCCGAGTGATATCGGAGAATTAAAGTGACTACAACTTCTTTTGCTCCCTGCTGCCTATCTGTACAAGTTTTGGCAAATTTTCATAAAGCTGAACAGAAATCATTCACCTTCAGATAACCTTTGGTATACACTATGTAGTCTCTCGCAGAGTTTTAATGTTTCATGGGTCTGAGCAGTTCAGTACCCTGGGTTTTACTTTGGCTTTTAGACAACTTTCCAACTGAGGAGCACGGCCTTCTGGTGACCTAATTACAGGAAGCCCTTCTGGGGATCTTCCTGGCGTAGACACACCCAGGCTGGACTGCACGGGGGAGCATGAGCACGGTGGGTCCAGGGTCGCATTTCTGTCCCTTCTCCCGAGGTGGACATTGACTCTGTTCGCTAAATGTGTTAACATCACTGGCAACATGGTTAACTGGACGTCTTGGAAATATGGCCATTTAAAAAAGCACAGGTAGCACCTAGTAAGCTAGCAATCTACAAATCTATTTAATTTAAGCATTGATTCTTGACAAAGGTCACACTGCCACTGGGGGAAACTTTTCTGTCATAACATCTGGTGAATAAAATCAGCATTTATTGGGTGAGGTCAGAGATACTGGATCTCTCTCTCTCTCGGCTTTTTGAGATAGGGTCTTACTATATAGCTCAGGCTGGCCTCATACTGGCCGTGATCCTCCTGCCTCAGGCTGGCCCATGCAGTAGTATTGCTTACCTTTTCCACTGCTGAAACCTAGTACCCAAGACCCACGACTTCAAAGAGGAGTGGATGAATTTGGCTCCTGGTTTCATGGGATTCCATCCTTGGTCAGCTGGCTCCCTGGCAATGTCCTGAAGTAAGGGTACAGCTGAACAGAGAGACTCATGGCAGCCAGGAAGTACAGCAAGGGAATAGTGCCAGAGAGCAGGGGCTAGAGATCATATATAGTGCCTAAAGTTCTGCTCTAGGACCCATCCAGACACACCGGAAGTGGGCTCCAACAACCCCTCATCATTTCCAGTGTACCCAAGCAGATACACTACAAGAGTCACAGCAGGCAAGGACTAAACTCTATCTGCCTTACCGGCCTTAGTAAAGCTCTGGAATTTTGTTCTAAGAGCAAAGCAAGACCACGCTGGGTTTCAGGGCAAAGAGCAATCTACTCCACTTTCCTTTTTAAAGCAGGCTGGCTGCAGTGAATAAAATGCAGGACGGTTGTTCAATGAGTGAGTGTTTCATAAGTATATGCCCCAATACATCTGTAAATAAATGAGTAAATAAATCTATCTATTGAAGGATGCAGAAAAGGCAAACAGGGTGGCTCTGCGCTGGCCTCAGCCGTCCCTTTGGGCTTCGACCTTGTCACGTGACTTCCCCTCAGTTCCCGAGCCTTACCTTCCTCAAGGGGGGCGGGGACCACAGTTCTTGAAGGTCTCCAGAAATAACTCCGTAACTCCTGACAACCCCACCCCACTGCCAAGGCCCTCGGTCTGCAGCAGCTGAGAGGAAAATACCGAACGTCCCCGCTTTGTTTTTCACTCTGGGTCTGGCGTTCGTCTGCAGCTGGGGCCCCTTCTGTAAGATTGCTCAGCATCTATAAGTCGGCTCATTTCCACGCTGATTGCAAAGCTGGCAGCGTACACACTTGTCATTCTTATTCTTGGCTCAGATGCTCCTTGCTGGCGGTAGCTCTGACGATGGGTTGTTGACACCACTCGGTAGTTATTGTCTCAAGGGCCACTGGTACGAGCAGATTTAGGAGGATGAACAATTTGACAATCAGACCCCATCTGCAGAGTAATCATGAGTTACATTACGGAGAAAATGCAAGTAAATGATGATGATAGAGCTGTCTTATATTCAACTTCCCTTCGTTGAGCAAAGATGACATAAAGCGATGTCGAGAAGCAGAACAATTTTTTTTTCAATATAATGAGCATCGTTTAGTGCTTTTGCATTTAACTAAGTAAAGCAAGTGACAGGCTGTAAAACAAAAATGCTCTCACAGATATGGTCTCATTTGCAAATGCACGATATTAAGAGTTGTACAGTCAGACGTTTGGTGAAGATATTTAAGCAAAAAAGAAGCATGTGGCATTGGAAAATGTATTCTTCAAGCACATGGCATGGAACAACCACTCGGGGGACGCCCTGGTATCCTGGCTGTGTGGGAGATGGTCACAAGAGGCAGCTGGAGAGAGGGGGAAGGCCAGCTGCAAACCTGCTAAAATGGAAGCAGGAGCTTGAACTGTAAGGGACGGCCTTGGCGCCACTGCTCTAGGCGGTGAGGAATGAGCCGAGTTTCCTCTAGGTCACCGCGGGGGGTCAGGCCAGAGAGCCAAGATCCAGGCTGGCCGATCACTTTCAGTGGCTTCCCCTCCAGGGCAGAACTCGGTGGTGTGTCTGTTTCTCTCCCTCCCTAATATACTCGGGGATAGGACTCGGCTTGGACATTGGCCATCCTCCAGGGGCACAGCTTCGGGACTTATGGAATGAGTGGGCACCTACTGTGCCCACAAGCTAGGAAGATATTGGGGAGCTAGCAGTCACTCTGGATGCCCATAAAAGATAAAAACCTCAGAAAGTAGCACTGTACGGCTGCAGAGAAAATGCCATGGCCAAGCATAATGGGAAACACCATGCAGGTCTCAGCTTACAGGCATTCCCACTTTTTTTTTTCCATTAAGTTTATTAGTACTTTTAGGTATACAGTACAGTTACATTCATCATTGGGATCTTGTACCTTTACATGAGGTATCTTGGTTCTTATTTTTTCCCCATTCCCCTGCCTTCCCTTCACCCCCTTCACCCTTCCCTACTTATATAGACTTTGTTTCCATTTTTCCCTTTCCTCATATTTTTTTCTTTTCCCTTTTTACCCTTCCCCCACCCTCTCACTTCTCCTACTCCTTTAGCCCTATTTCACATTATCAATTATACATTTCAATCCTTATTTGCACTTTCAGTTTTTCACACCAGAGAAAATACTGGGTATTTACACATGTGTATCCTATTTATTTCACTTAAAAATATGGCCTTGATGTGCAGCCATGTAGTTATAAATGATTAGTTTCTTATTCTTTAGGGCTGAGTAGTACTCCATTTTGTACAAAAACGAAATTTCCTTTATACAGTGGATGGGCAATTGGGCTGTTTCCAAGTTTTAGCTATTACAAACTGTGCCGCTATAAACATGGGTGTTCATGTATCACTGTGGTATGATGCTTTAAATTCTTTTGGAAAGATACCCAGTAGAGGAAGAGCTGGGCCAAATGGGACCTCTAATCCTAGTTGCTTGAGGCAAAAAATTGATCGATTTCCACAGTTATTGTACCAGTTTGTACTCCCACCGACAATGAAGAAGGGTTCCTTTCTCCCCATAGCCCCACCAGCAGTTGTTATTGATTTCAAGGGGTGAGGTGGAATCTCAGTGTTTTTTTCATCTGCATCTCTCTGACCAGTGATGTGGAAAATGTTTTCATATGTTTATTTGCTGCTTTTACTTCTTCTTCTGAGAAATGTCTGTTCATTTCAGATGCCCATTTTAAAATCGGGTCTTTATATTTGGGGGGTCTAGGTCCCACTTTGTTTTGGGAAGCAGGGAGGAATTATGAGAAGCCCCAGGTATGACTTCCTACCCAACCTAATTGGGAGATTTCAACATTGGAGCTCCCAGAATGAAGATTTTGTAATCCAAGTTCCTTGGTTAGGAGGAATGTTTTGGACTCACTTTTGTTATTCTTGCCATTTTTTATTACTCTCCTCTAACTTTACTTTAAAAATTCTCTAATTGGATTTTTAAAATCCCTTATTCTTTTCCTCTTTCTCATTTTCTTTTCCCAATTTGTCCTTGTTTACTTCTTTCTTTTGTCCTCTCTTATCCCCTTCTAAAATTATTTCATTATTATTTTAATCTTTATTAATTTTTATCTTTTAGTTTGCTTTATATTATTTTTGCCCCTTTCTCTTCGGTAATTGTTGGCAATGCAGGTGATATCAGGGATTGAACCCTGAGGTAGTGGCCATACTCTGCAAAGATACATACAACAGGAAGGCATATCCATCCAGACAGATGTATGCATACAATCACAGAAACAGAAGACGTGTAGAGAATACAACGGCATGTGAATCGGCCACAGGCTCATGACTCTTCAGTATGTGACTCTCAAGATACTAAACTTGATGACATTCCACAAGCACTGTTAGAGAATACAACGGCATGTGAATCGGCCACAGGCTCATGACTCTTCAGTATGTGACTCTCAAGATACTAAACTGGATGACATTCCAAACAAGGACTGTAAAAAAACTGATTTTTAAATGACTCATGGTTTCAGAAACAACACCTATAAACAGATTAAGGAATTAAGGAAGATAATGCGTGATATGAAGGAGCTATTTAATAGAGAGGTTTTGAAAAAAAAAAGCCCACAGATTTCACAACTGAAAACTCAGTAAGCCAGATACAACAAAAAGTCAGTTGAAAACCTCATTAACAAATTAGATCAAGAGGAAGAAAGCCTGAACATGAGATTGATGGATTATCAAATTAAAACAGTAACAAAGAAAAATAATGGGAAATTATAAACAACATACAAAATCTGTGGGTTACAATTCATTGACCAAATCTAGAAAGTCAGCAGAAGAATTATAAAAATTAGAGCAAAAATAGATGGTATAGAAACTTTAACAAGAATACAAAGAATGAAACAAAGAAATGTTTCTATGAAAGTTAAAAAGGAGTGACCAATTCTTGGCCAGAATAGCCAGACAGAGAACACCTGAATTAATAAAATTAGAGGTTAAAAATGGCATATCCAAAAAAGGTCTTAACAACTATATTTCAATGTATGCCAATAAGTTGGAATTCTAGAAGAAATGGACAAATTTTATAATGCATATGAACTTCCAAAGGTGAGACTATAAAAAGCTTAAGTAAATCATAACAAGCCATGAGTATGAATTATAAAAATTCTCCCAACAAAGACTATTGCCTGATGGGATGGATTTACACTTCCAAATTCCTTCAATGGAACCTGTATTACCCTTCCACCAAATTCTGTTAAGAACATAAAACCAACAGCAACAACAAAGAAAACGCTAAGTCAATAACCTTAATAAACACAGGTGCACCCAATCCTCAACACAGTGTTTGAAAATTAAATTTAACATTTAAAAAGACTGTGAGGTTTATGACATGAGGTAATATATTCTGTGATTCAGTTAGTTTCATTCCAGGGGTTCAATTTTATTTCACTGTATGTTAATCAATAAATATTAGTCATTGCACATAGAATCAAGGATATAAAACACTTAGTCCTTTCCATATAAGCATAGAGAGCCTTCCATATAATTCAACATCCCTTTATGATAAAAGCCCTGAATAACCTAGGGATAGAAGACTCATAGCACAACATAATAAAGGGTATGTGTGAGAAGATCAAAACTGAAAGCACATCCTCCAACATCCAAACAAGGGTGCCCATCATCCCCACTCTTATTCAACAGAGTATTGGAAAGGTTAGCCAGAGCAGCTCTGCAAGAGAGAGAGAGTTAAAAGGGATACAAATGGGAAAGGAAGACCTCAAGTTATCTTTATTTACAGATTATGTGATTTTATACTTAATAAGAGTCCTAAAGAGTCCACCAAGAGTCTCTTAGAACTGATCTGAAATTCAGCAAATAAGAAGGATGCAAAACCAGCAAATCAATTTGGTAGATTTCCCACATGCCAATACGAACCGCTGAGAAAGCCATCAAGAAAACAGTGGTGTTCATAACAGCCTCAAACACAGATACAAAAAAACCTAGAGATAAACCTACCCAAGGAGATGAACAATGCCTACAATGAAAACTAGAAAAAAATTGAACAAAGAAATATAAGAAGAACCTATCAAATGGAAACATATCCCATATTAATGGATTGGGAGAAATACCATTATTAATGAATTGGGAAAAATAACATAATGTTATTTATGGCCATGCTACTAAAATTAATCTACTGATTCAATGTAAACTTCCTTAAAATACCAGTGACACTGTTCGCTGAAGTAGAAAAACAATCCTAAAATTCATAAGAAAGCACAAAAGACCCCAAATAGATAAGTATATCCTGAGCAAAAGGAATAATACTAGATATATCACAATAACTGATTTCAATACATACTATGGAGCCGCTGTAACAAAAATCAGCATAGAATTGGCATACAGACAGACACATGCATCAGGGGAATAGGAGAGAGGTCCCAGGCATAAACTTGTACACCTCTAGCCATCTGATTATTGTACAGGAGCCAAAAACATACATCAAAGTGGTTCTGCTGCCTGCCTCGCAAGTTCAAGGACCTGAGTTTGATCCCCGGTACCAAAAAAAAAAAAAATAATAAAAATAAAAAAAAGGAAAAGAAAACATTCGTCAGCTAATAAATGGGCAAATGAGCTGAAGACACTTCTTCAAAGGAAATGTTTGAATGGCCAATAAGTATATGAAAAAATGCTCAATTCCTTTGGCCATCATGGAAGTGCAAATCAAAACCGAACTGAGATTCCATCCCACCCCAGCAAAAACAAAAAATTCATACTGGCAAGGGTGTGGCAAACAGTAACACTTGTACCCGACTGGTGGGAATGTAAATGAAGTAAAGCTACTATACAAATCAGTGCGGGGTCTCCTAGGAAAGCTAGAAGAATAACTGGCAGGTGACCCACCATAGGATCCTCAGCATTTACCAGGAAAAATAAGACTTCAGCACATGAGAAAGATACTTGTTTACCATGATACCGTTCATAG